CGAAGTTTTGGGCAAATCCCAGATTTTGACCCCCTACCGTAACCCCACCCTAACTCCACCGGTGGCGCTACCGCGCGAAATAAACGTCATATTTGTGCTCAGCGTACCAAATAACCCCCATAGACGAAGTACCCAAATTCAGGATTTAAATTTTTGGGGTCAACTAATGTGGAATAGTACCGAATACCAAGTTATGCCCATATTAATTAGCTGTCCTTTACTAAAAGTAGGGAATTCTGAGTAGCTGGTACGTGCTGGTAAAAGTTTTAAATTAACTCCCCTCAAAAAAATGGAGATTTATGGAGATTTGCATGCCAAAACAAATCATTTTTAGCTAACTTAATAGAAATGAGCATGGGCAAAAGAAAAGTAAAAAAATCGCGGATTGTCTCGAAATTTCAAAAAAGGAAAAACAAACTAACCTTTACTGATAAGCATCTTGGCAACATCATAATGTAAAGCAGCAATGGCTCTATGGAGCGGTGTCAAGCCGAAGTTATCTTGAGCATCCATGTCCGCACCAGTTTCTGAATAATTAAATCATTTGCGAAAAGTTCCACCCGGAAGCAGGCAACAAACCTAACAACATAAGCGATAATTTTACATCTCCAGTAAAAGCGGCATAATGTAAAGGTGTGCTGCCTATCGAGTCGGTGTAATTCACATCGATACCATCGTAAATCATTGACTTCACCATTGCCTCGTTCTTCATTAGTATAGCTACAGCGAGATCATTCTAAACAACAAGTTTTTCTGAACAGCTGAGCAACTGAGGATGACCACCTGATGGTAGTTCAGGTTGTAAAGACGATGAAAGTAAACAAATCACGAATGCGCTGATTCAACTATGTGAGGCGCGGGAAAAGGAGCTTAGTGATGAGACCGAGGCTTATACGATGACGAGAGGGTTATTATAGCGAATCTAATCGCAGTAATAGCTCAAGCAATCATAAAACTGTTGATTTTGGAAGATTATCCTGGGGAAAAAGAAAGCACAGCACACGCACAAATTGACCACCCATGAAATCAAAAAGAGTTAAGAGCTTTCAAATATGACTCCAAATTTACAATGATGAAAACGCTCGTTTGATAGTTCACGCGTGATAAGTAATTTTTTGGTGCAAAAAAGAAGGCACACTTCATCTTTTACATAATGAGATTAGAATTTTGTTAAGCAGATGGCAGCGTTTAGAGCTGCATAGTGTGAATGAAAAAAAA